TCACCTTTGTCGAAAGGACAGAAGGACACAGGGGGCTTCTGGGGTGACCAGGGTGGTAGTTACGTGGTGACCCACTTGTGAAATACAGAGTGCACTACCGAATTCCAAATACGCACATGTTTCAGTATTTAAATATAGACAAAAACACTCAAGTTCACTCTATCCATGTATGTTGATGAATAATTTTTAAGCCCTTCATAGGAAGACTAGAGCAGCAGCAGACTCGCAAATGAGCAGCCCGGTGTGCTCTTCCTGCACCCATCAGCGACCTGTCCCCTACACACGTCTGCTGTCCTCGCCAGCCACGGGCAGGGCTGCAGCCATCAATGAGACCACATCCTCTCCCCCCTGGATGTTTCCAGAACGGGGTCAAAGATCTCCTTTGCGTCCTGGGCCCCTGGCCTGCGCCTACGGTCCTCTCGCCTGTGGCTGCCTTGAGGCTGCCGGGCCAGCGCTGCCCCAGGCCGTGGCGGATTCGGTGGTGAGATGGCCCCCAGTGAACCCTGGAGGTGGCTGAGGATGTGTCACCAAAGGCCTTGGTGAAAGTCACGTCTGAGTCCACTTTCCCCAACACCTCTGACGCCCGCCCGAGCCCTGGGCGGTGAGACGCGCCGCCGCCCTGCGCTCTACGCCACGGAAGTGGTAGGGCGACTGGCGTGCTGACCACGTTCCGGCAGCTGTAGCTGCATTTTAAATAACCGCACTCGAGAAAGGACACACACGGGCACACCTACCGTGGAGTGCGCCACCCCCACCAGGCTCCTGCCCTGCGAGTCACTCCCCCCCCCAGGAGCTGGCTTTGTCTAAAACAAAGGAAACCTCTTGCTGTCCTGAAACAGCACATTAACTCGTCTCTCCTTCCAATTCCTGCCTCCCTACAGTCCACGTTCCAAAGGCAGCCCCATGGGGATCTTTCCAAAGAACAAATCACGCCACACTGCTGCTGAAAGCCTGCCAGTGCGAGGCCACCCCTGTGACCTCCCGGCCTCTGCCACCTGCTGTTCCCTACCCCCGAAACGCCCTCCCTGCAGGTCTTCCCAAGGCTGGCTCCATCCCGATCCCAGGGGGCTGGCGCTGCCCCCGCCCGGCCACCTCTAGCTCCTAATCTCATGCAATGCCCCACGTGGCTTTCATCGCTGTCTTGGAATTCGCTTTCTTACTTATTGCCTCAAATGCTAACTCCTGGACCCAACGCACGCTCCATGAGAGCAAGGGATCCGCTTGATCTGTGTACCAGTGTATCCGTAAGTCCCGGCACAGGGCTGGCAGCCAGAGAATACTTGCAGGTGAGACGCAGGGAGGCTGGGGACAGAGGGAGGGAGGGAAGGACAAGGACAGAGAGGTCAAGGGCCAAGGACAGGGAGGTCAAGGGCAGAGAGGGATGGGGGGAAGAGGAGGGTTAAGGACAGGGAGGGCTGGGGAGCAGAGAAGGGTGCAGTGAGCCAGGATTCGGTCATGGGATCAGCCGTGGCCAGGAGTGGTCGGTGCCCCCCAGCCACAACCTGGGGCGTCAGGGCAAGAGACTCGGCACAGAAGGGGGACGGGAGAGCAGAGAGAAGACAAGAGACAGCGTGCAAATCCTCCTCCCAGAGAACCGTGAGAAAGTGCCTGAGTTGCGGGGACAGAGCAGCACGAGGCTTGGGGTCGGGGAGGTGCCAGCCGTGCCCTGGAACAGCACTTATCCTGCCATTTCCAAGGGGCTTTTTGAGGATGGCTCCAGTGCTGGGAGCGGAGGGCAGCAGCAGCAGTTTGGAGCTGCAAGACACACGGGCGAGCCGGCCGGCGTCCGTGTACAGGAACGCGGGCGGGGAAGGGCCGCGAACAGCACAGGCGGCCGGCACCGAGCGGGCGGATGCCCTGACCGCTGGCCCAGGTGCCGGAACCGATAACCAGGTGCGGGGGCGGCCCGGGGCCAACTTCAAAGAGGATTTGTTTGCACTTGTGCGAGACAGGGAAGCACCCATGCCCACCGGCGGCCGCTTCCTTTTCCAGACACAGAACTTTCCCTCGACCCTCGAAACACACAGGCCGAGTTCTCACGAAGTTTCCAAGGAAAGCCTACTTTGGCAGGATCCCAAGGCAAAGAAATAGACGGCAAATCAGAAATGCCCGGACGCCAGAGCTCAGCATGGGCTTCAGGCAGCCACGCGTGCGTCGTCGGGGAGAGACTCCCTTGGAATGGTCAATGAGAGGGACAGAGAAGGAGCTTAAACACCCAGGAAGTCTCCCAGCCAGACATCAGAGAACCGGGCCAGGGGCCCTGCAGTCTACGTGTTGGTAATAAACAGGTGACGACACGCCAAGAAGCGCAGACCCACATGCACAGAGCTGGCGGTGGGGCACGCGTGTATGGATGTTCCCCGGATGCCCCTCCCGAGGGTCTGACGTCCCGGCAGTGGGGGACAGAGCTGCACCTACATCTTCCGGGTGGCCACAGTGGCGATGCAGTTTGGGGGGTGCCGCTGGGCGCTACAGGCCATGAGGGGCCTCCCCGTCGGACCCAGGCTCAGGGTCAAGGCCGGTCGAGCCCTGAACACTAACCATCGGCACAACCCTGCCTCTCGGGGCCGCACGGGTAGACATCACTCCACTGCCCCGTCAGGCCCCAGGGACATGACGCCCGAGAATCGAGAAGCCTGAACATGGCGCATGGGACGGGGCAGTGCTGGGCTCTAGGACTCAGTTTCCTTCGTGTTATTTCTGGCAAGTATTGGGAGAGGGGCTTCCAGGCCAGCCCCGCTGCACCGTCCCGGGCTCCCCTAGCACAGGGCGCAGTAAGGCACAACGGGAACAGCACCCCCTGGAAGGCGCAACAAGGAACAACGCACTCTCCCCTCTGTGATCAAGTCATTCTGGGAAGGGCGACCCTCCCTCGGTTTAGAGATTCACAATGTCCACTAGCACAGTGAAGGCTCTGAGAAGTCCTGCAACAATGTTTTTACAAACTTGGTGTAATCTATTTTTTTTATTTTTTTACCTTTTTAAGCCACAGAACCCTCCCTCCTTTCAGAGAACAGCTCCTAAAATCCCACGAGCTGGGGTGATGAGGAATGTACTTAAACTTTGCCACGCTCGGTTCTCTGGGACATCCTTAGAGCTGACTCATGTTTGACCCCGCCCAGAGCTCACAGTCACCACGACCTTGGACCTGCCTGTGCTCAGAAAGGGCTTCAGGAGCCCAAACGGCGCCCACACTGGGCTGCTTTTCTGTAACGTGAGCTTGTGTGGGAGCGGCGAGCACGCCTGTGGGCCTGGGTCCTGACCACCTCGGGCCTCTCGGACGCTGGTTCTCTAACCGGGGCCCCCATCGCGCACCGTTGGCACCGGCGAGGGGCGGGGTGGGAGGTGCCAGAGCGTTTCTTGCCCTGGAGATCAAAGCCAGCCGGGCGGGGTCAGCCGGGGAGAGCGATCTGCCCCTGCGCCCACGCTCATTTATTTATAAAGCGCCTGGTCTCCATTGCAACCCCAAGCCCTCACGTGGACGGGAGTGCAGTCACGGCCACGTGCACGGCTCCCCTGCACTGGCGTCCTGCAGTCGCTAGCTCTCTATGTGATACCCTCTTTTAAAACAAGCACCGAGGCTTCACCTCAACCACTGTGCACACACGTCGTTTGAGGATGGACTGCACGACCATGCAGGTCTCCCTCCTAAAACACAGCAGTGACGCCAGCTCCACCTGTGTTGGATTACTCAGGATCAAACAGATCAATTATTCACACAACAATCCCCGAGGGCAGCCTGTAAGGCCAGGATGACCCTCCAGTAAGTGGCCCGAGAGATCACTGATGAGGTTAGGGGACATTTTCGATAGACAGTCTCACCAGCGAGAGGGCACGGAAACTACCAGAAGTTGCAGGACCCCCAGATAACCTGGCTGGTCAAGGTTTTATGTAAAGTAAAAACCAACAGTCTCTGAGAAAGGAGCAAGGGATTTTCCTGGCACCGAAGGGTCTGAAACGTCATACCTGGTCTTTACCAAAACTACTGTGGCTGTTTTGAAGCTTTTGCCTTACTTCCTACTCCTTGGCTGGGTTCCTGAGAGTTAATTTTCCTGAATCATCGAGATTTCAGGGTGTATCAGATGCTACTGCCCGTGAAATGTGAGGCTGGAGCCGGCGATGACCGCCAGAGGTTTGGGTTTCCTTCTCCTGCTAAGACTCTCCAGCCACCTGCTTTCTGCTTCCTGGATCCCCCAAGGGAAGGCTGCTCTGCCTCCCCACCCCCGACCTTCAGCTGCACCTGGCTGGTCCCAGGTGGGTCTTAGCAACACGACTGGTCCTTCCTCCCTGGGCGCCCAGTCCAGCGCCACACCACAGCCGCCCGCCAGGCCCACCCTCTGGCCGGGCGCTCTGCCAGCAAACGCGGCACCCACAGCCGCGCACAAAGCCCCTCTGCATCCTGCCCCTGCCCGGGCGCCCCAGCAGCTGGGCTCCCCACTGCGGAAGTCCCCGTCCCCGCCCATCAATGTGCGCCTCTGTTCGGCCGGTGGGGAGCGCCCGCGGCCCGCCCGCCCGCAAGTGCTTCCGAGGAGCCACTTCTCAATGGGCCGCCTTCTTCCCTTCCCGTCCCCTCTCCCACACGCACAAAGGACGGCTGATAAAGTCGGGGTTTTCTGTGCAGGAATGAAAGGAGGTTAGCTTTCCTTCCTTTCTGTTTTCTTGGCCTTGGTCTAAATCTGGCAATGGTGAAGCAAGTGGAAGCGTTGAGACTGACCCAGTTCATGACCTGGAGACACTGCCCCCCTCGTCTGCTGCCTTCACTGGCGTGGTCGTAGGGAGGCACCCCAAACTGCTGCTGCTCACCCCAAAACCCCTGCTGGGAAGTCATTCTTGCACGGTGGGGGGGAGGCCCTCGAGGTCAGATTCAAGTCCCTTAAGTTAAAAATGGGGACACCGAGGCCCAGGGAGGCTGAGGAACCCCCCAGGCCACACAAGAACGTCCCGGGGTGGGGGGATGCGTCAGGGCCCACCTCGCAGCATGGGAAAATCCCGCATCTTACCGTCATCCAGGTAGGTCTGGTCCAAGTTCTGCTCCTGTTTAATCGTCACTCCCGCGGGCAACACTTCCTTCTGGTCGCTGACCGGGGGTCCGTTTTTGGCGGCTCTGGGGCTGGTGGCGTTCTGCTGCTGAATGACCGTGGGGTAGGAGCCGGGGCTCAGCCTCTGGCCTTGACTGACCGGGGGCGGGCCGGGCCTGGGGTTGCCGGGCGGGAAGTTCTCGCAGTACATGATGTGCTGGAACTCCTGGTGGCCCCCGCAGCGCAGCTGCTGGCTGGTGGGCGAGTAGTGGATCACCGGCGCGGCCTGCTGGCTGGCGGGAGAGGGGTGCAGCAGGGCCGAGCTCTGGCCCTGGGAGCCCGCGTGCACCAGCACCGAGCGGTGGGCGTCCGCGAGGGACAGGGGCGCAGCCATGAGGGCCGGCTGCTGGTAGCCCAGCAGGCTGGGGCTCAGGCTCTTGGCACGCTGGCAGAGGGCGGCCGCGGGGCTCTGCTGCTGGTAGCGGGCGTCAGGGGGCGAGAGCCCCGAGCGGAACTGCTGGCAGGGAGCCATGGTGGCCACCAGGCAGGAGGGGGACTCGGCCACCATCGGGTGCTGTGGGTAGTAAGGCTGACTCCCCGGGCCCCCGTGGGCGGGGCTGCAGATCAGAGTGGGGTCGTACTCGTCCGTGGGCTCCGTCTTGATGGCGGGGACTGCGGGGAGAGAGAAGCACACGGGCGCACCCGTCGCAGGGAGCCGGGACGTGCAGACGACTCGCGCACAGCCGCGGGCTTTGGGAGCCCAAGTGGGTGGGACCAAACAGCTGGGCCCTGTCGCTTAGGAGCCCGGGGCAAAAGGTCCCCGTGCAACTGTCTGAGGTCAGAAATGTCACCCTGGCGGTGCTCATCTTGAATTAGGGGTTTCCCAGCATTGGAAAGCGGCGGCAGGGCTGAGTCAGCCCCGGGGCGCTTGCAGCCTGCTTCTCCAAGGCGAGGGCTCAGAGGAGGAGGCTTGATCTGAGACCATACCTCCCACCTCCCCCTTCCCTGGCGGCTCTCATCGCCTGTCCCCGCGTTTCCATCACGCCACTCGCCCGCTTCCGAAATGCTGCGTGTGTTTTATGTGCTTATTTACTATTTATAACACCCGCCCTCAAAAGGTCAGTTTCCAGGGAGGACTTCTGTCTGGTTTTGGGGCCTCTGGGACCAAAACGGCACCTGGTACATAACGGGCACTCAAGTATTTTCCAGACAAAGGAATGACCAAGTAGTGGCTGTCCCCTTCCTCAGTTCTGTAGTACTGGGGGGAACCAGAGCTGCTGGCTCAGGCCTCAGTTTCCCCATCTGTTACCTGGCAGTAACAATCATGCCTTCTGGAGTCGTTGGGAGGATTAAATAAGATGCGTGTACAAAGCACTTAGCTCAGGGGCTGGCACACAGTAAGCGCTCAATGTGTGCTGCTGCTGTCATTACTGCCTTACCGTCAACGTCACTATTACTGTGCACGTGCTTGCCGTTGCCACTCCTCGCTCCCCGCCCAGCACCAATCACTACAATGGGTCCGTCCCCAACATCTTCACCAGGGCTTTCCCGGCCCCAGGAGCTGAGGAATGAATTTCCTTCTCGCTGGAGTAAGCGGGTCGGCAGCGGGACTGTGACGGGGGCACGGGGCGCCACGTGTCGGGGGTCGGAGCAGGTAAGGGGGCCTAGCAGGTCGGGCTCCAACCACAGAAATCATTCCCTGAGATGCCATTCAAAGGCCGCCATCTCAGTCCCTGGCCCAGCGGGGGACGGAGGGCTTGCTTGGGCTCAGTTAGACAAGCCGCCGATGACGGGACAGTGTGCCACAAGACGTCACTGAAAACCTCTCCGTTCAAGGGTATCCTCGAGCGGCAGTCTAGAACCTCTCAGCCATTTCCTCCTAGTTTGGGGTCCTGTTAGTGGCCTGAGTGGCCCGGCCACTGCCCCGACAGCGTGTTATGTAAGGCCCGGCCTGGTGGCCCCTGTGCGGACGCAGTCCCCTGAAGCCAAGCCCACCAGGGCGGGCCACCCAGACGTACCCCTCGGTCTAACGCTCCCAGCAGCCCACAGGCTCCGTGCGAAACCATCGTAGGACGGAAATTATACCCCGGGTGATGTTCTCGAATTACAGGTTTCCAATTTGGAAAGGTGGCCAGCAAGTCTTTCTCAGCCTGGGAAGTGGGCAGTCTATCTCCCAAGGAGTGCTCAAAAGGCATTTTTTTTTAACTTAAAATTATACCACCCTCTGGCTATTCCTGTCTACCTTTTCTGCAGCCCTAATCATAATCCAATATATCAACAATGTCAGTGCTATTCCCTCTGCTAGAATGTCAGGCCCCTGTGGGCAGGGATTTTTAACCTGTTGTGTTAGCTGCTGTGTCTACAAGCCAAGAACAGTGCCTGGCACTCAAATATTATCCGGACAAATGAATGAATGAAAAATGGTACTCATCACTCTTCTTGGGGCTGTACAACTTCGCAAGAACGAGCCCTCTGGGCTGTCATCCGCCCACTCACTCCACTTGGCCACCACTTGAGCCACTGTGGAGACAACTGAAGATTCTGCAGGTTTGTGGGTGCAGCCACTTTTTACTCCCCCATGATCAAATCCAAGACAGGGACAGGAGTCACCTGCTTAGTGTCCTAACACTCTTCTGTTGCACATGCCTACACGTGCCTTTCTCCTGTCCCCCCTCCCCACAAAGGAAAATATTAATGCCAACAATAATAGCTAATAGCATTGACATCAGCAACTTGCTACGCACTGTGATAAGTATTTTATGTGCATTTCTGTATCTCTTAAAAAGAAGATGCCATAGGACAGGTGAGGAAACTGAGGCTCAGAGAAATCGAGTCACCTGCCCAAGGGCGCCCCGCTAGGAGCAGACCTCGGAGTCCTAAGCCCCACACCCGGCCGCCCCTCCACACCACAGGGGCAGCCAGGGAACCCCTTACCTGGGTGGTAGGTAAAGTGCTGCGGCTGGCTCCGTTTTCTTTTCCCATTGATGACATAGAAGTTCACCTTCACGGACGTGCGGATGTGCTTGTTCCGATATTCGGGAATCTCAACAAACAGCATGTTCTGGAAAGAAGGAGTTGTCATGAACGTAACTGCAGTCGTGTCTAGATTCCTACTCAGACCCTAAGCACACCCTAGTGGGAATCTCGACACATTCCATAGGTTCAATGGGTGAAACTGGATTTACGGGGGATGTAACTTTTCAGCGATGATGGCAAGGAAGGCCACTCTGTCAAAGTTAGTAAGATGTCACAGTTAGGAATCAGAGGACCTGGTGCTCAGTAGATGTTTAATTCAGTCATCAATTCGGTATGTACTTAGGGAGCACCTGTTGGATCCTCAACACAGGGGACTGTGACGAAGGGAGGAAGAAAAGAGGGACAGAGAGCATGAAGGAAGGAACGGTGACAGGGGTCACAGACACTCAGCTGACAGTCGTCCTGTCCGTGTGCTTACAGGCTGGCTCTTGTCTTTGTCCACCGTGGCTTCCATCTCCCAAATTTGTTGCCCATCTGGAAAAATTAAAAAATGACAGACTTTGAAGGAACTATTAGAAACCAAAGATTTAAAGATAAAAACTCACCATCTTATATTTATCTAGGTTTACATATTGTATCATTTCAATAAGGTGTGTATGTGCATATATATGGGCATGTGTATATTTATATTATTTATATTTTTATATAGATGAATATTTCTTTTCCCCATAGGAAGGCATGAACTAAGCGATAATGGAAAAACAAGAAAAAAGTAGAAATTGCCTGAAATTCTACCATTATTATCCTTTTTCTCTGCGTCTGAATGTCTATATATCTTTCTTGCTTAAACAAAAGCATTGAAAGTATCACTGTACATTGCACTCTATTATATGCTTTGTTCAACTAAAGGCTATTTCCAAAAGGTGCTGCATGTGCCAAGACTGCTACAGGGGTCCTGTTACGGGGTCTCTGTCTGAGACCGCCCTCACGACTGTCTGAGAACACTGGTGGCTTAAACATTCTACCCCAAGTCAGGAGGGAGCCCAGCCTCCGAGCCGGCGTGCTGGCTGGCGAGCCACTGGAGAGCAGGGGAGCACGAGAGCTCCCCCTCCACCTTCCCGCCCACAGCCGGCCTGGATCTCGTGTGAGTCATGACAACAAGGGATGAAACGCTTTTGCTCAATAGTAAACTCTCCTTCCCGGGAGCAGAGCACTATTTCCCCAGTCTGGGGCCAAGATTTTGGGCCAAATAAAACTCCGCATTTGCAAATAATTGATTTCTCTCGTTGACCACCTACATTGGCCATTGGGTAGTTTTCAGCTGAAACAAATCATTTCCACAAGTATTTCCAGGGTGTTTTGTGGAACACTGATTCTGAAGGATATTAAATGGTTTTATGAAAAAGGGAAAATTCTACAAGCTAATGAGCCTTCGGAAATTGCTGAGTCAAAGTCAAATGGGTCTCTTTACTGCAGGACTTCTCAGAGGCTTTACTATGCACATGTGCAGAGTAACCCTGCAAAGCAGGCTGGAGTGTGTAGCATGTTCCAGCGTTTGACCAAAGAACCCCTCCCCACTTTTTAAGCATAGCTATTAACTGTGCTTAGATTGTAACCCATATAATCTTTTTTTTTTTTTTTTTTGACACAGGGTCTCACTCTGCCACCCAGGCTAGATTGCAGTGGCAACATCATAGCTCATTGCAACCTCAAACCCCTGGGCTCAAGCGATCCTCCTGCCTCAGCCTCCCAAGTAGCTGGGACTATAGGCATGCACCACCACCCACCACACCCAGCTAATTTTTCTATTTTTCACAGAGAAAATCTTGCTCTTGCTTAGGCTGGTCTTAAACTCCTGACCTCGAGCAATCCTCCCACCTTGGCCTCCCAAAGTGCTAGGATTACAGGCATGAGCCATCCCACCTGGCCTTTAACCCATATAGTCTTGGCTCTTAAGATTCACTGGAAGAAACCCAGGCTTCAAGCATTATTGGAACTTACTAGTATAGAACATATTTTTCCCCTTCAAAAAAAATTAACAGAAAGTCTCGTGATTGCTACCAAAGCTCAGGCCATCTAGATGACCTTAACAGGGGCAAACAACGACGAAGCCAGAGCCCTTCACAGCAATTAAGTCTGCAAGGCCTGACCTGACCGTTCTATTAGGTGCGATTCCCGAAATGACTGAGGAAGACGTGGGCTTGGCCAGAACGGAAGAGGACAGGTGGCTGATGTGCCGACTCTCACCGTGGCCTGCGGTCCCTGTGGGCGGACCAAGTTGCACCATGGCCATGTCCCCAGCACCCAACGCACTGTAGGTGCCTGATAAACATCTGGTGACTGAGCATGCAAAAGCATCGAGGGCTCCAAAGGCTGCTGATGGGGCCAAGAAAAAGGCCAGAAGCTGCCATCAGACACTGCTCAAAAGGAAGCAAGAAAAGATGGACAGACGGTTGTCGAGGAGCCTGAACCGCAGTCATCCAGATCTGGGCTCTCCTGCCATGCGAAGCCCCGGACAGAGCACTAGTCAGGGACAATCCTCATTTCTTTGTCAAAGACAGGTCTGAGGTCATCCGACAGAGACACGTGTCCCCCTCTCGGGGGAGGTGACCCCCAGGAGCATGGCTGTCCGAGCTAGGCTCAGGTCCTTGTCAAAAAGTGTGTTTTCATCCCCCGACTGCAAAGTGAGCTCTAAGCGAGAGGATCGAGTAAGACATGAACAGAGGGACGATAACACGCTGCCGTCTGGCTCGCCAGCTCTCTCCCTCGGCCTCCCGCCCTTGGCTGAGTTGAGTTCTGCCGCCAACAGCACCATGTCTGCTTGCCCGAGCGCCACTGCTTTGAAAACAAAGGACCCTTTTCAGAAGCTCATCACTGGGAGGAAAGGGAGAAAGGGGGGCCTGCAAAAGTGGCCGGAATGTTAGGTGGGTCCCCACAGCTCCACGCCCAGCTCGCTTCCTTGACTCAGGCCAGGAGGCAGACGAGGCCCAGAGCGTACAAAGTGACGTGTAGCATGAAGCGTGTCCAAGGGGAGAGTTCAGAGTCTCCTCTCCAGGTGTAGGGACCCAAGAGAGACGGGAGGGAGACCTTTGCCCCATCTCTGGTGGGCGTACGTGGTCAACAGAACTCTGCCCGCCGGTGGCCACAGAATTCCAGCGCACAGGTACTTAGAGTACTCTCAGAAATCAGTCGGCCCCATCGGGGCGCGGGGGCTCACACCCGTGATCTCAGCAACTCGGACTGAGCCCAGGAGCTTGAAGCCAGTCTGGACAACATAGCAAGACCCTATTCTCTACAAAACATAGAGAAATTAGCCAGGCATGGTGGTGCTTGCCTGTAGTCCCAGCTACTTGGGAGGCTGAGGCAGGAGGATCGTGTGAGCCCGGGGGTTTGAGGTTGCTGTGAGCTATCATTGCACCACTGCCTTCCAGCCTGGGGGACAGAGCAAGATCCTGTCTCAACAACAACAACAAAACAGCCAGCCCACCACCATCAGGTGAGGAAACTGAGGCTCAGAGAAGGAAGGGGGTCGTGCAAAGACACACAGTAGACAGTCGTTAAATCATTGCCTTTAAGCAAGAACTGCCACAATCCAATAAGGAAGACATTTCTGACGTAAGGTCAAGGGTATCACACAGAGATAAGAGACCCGCTTCCTGAGAGGCCAGAGAAAGATCCCGCATGGGTGGGATCCTGTAGGGCCCGACCCACCACAAAGATTCACACAGAGCTTCTCTCGCCCTTCCCTGCTGCCCCGTGCCCTCGGGGTGCCACGGAAGCTCCGCCGTGGCCTTCAAGGCTCCCGCCCTCGGTCCAGCTTTCCCGGCACCGTCCCCACCCGACTCTCGTGAGCACGCGCCACGGCCGGGAACCGCTCCAAGCCCCTCGCGGTCAGGGCTGGTCTCGTCCGTGCGGCAGCCCTGGGGGGCAGGTGTGCCCACCCAGGCTCAGACAGGCCAGAGCCCCGGCCACGCCCGCACAGGCCACCTCCCGCGGCCACCGAGCGCTAAGTTTGGGTCGGGGGAAGCGGCCCCCGTGGGCCGGAGGACACACCGGCCGCTCCAGCGTCCTCAGGCCTCGACCGTGACCCCGGCCTTCTCGGGCGTGTCCCGCGGCCGGAGCCAACTTCCCCTCCCTGTTCCCCGACGCTCTACCTACCGTAGAGCGTTCCTGTGTACCCCGAACCCCAAGCAGACAGACCTGGCTTCAAATCCCTGACTCCCCCCAATTATCTGTGTGATCTCAGATAAGACACTACACCTCTCTCTGCCTCTTATCCAAGATACAGAGATAATCACAGCCCCTGTGCCGCCCGGCTGTTCCGACAGATAACAGACGCAGGTAAACGGTGAGGGTTATTACTATGGCTAGTGGCAACAGATTATTTAAACATTGCTTTGTGGGATTTTTTGCATGTATTCTACAGTGTGTTCATTTAAAAAACACACACACAAGCATTTTTTTAATCAGAAAATAATAAACATTCTCTGACTGCAATTATTCATATTGCTGCCCGCAGGTACAGGCTGCAGGGAATTTACAAAGGACAATGTCTGTTACGTGAGATGGTGGCATGTTCCTGTTTTCCTTTCCTTTCAAAGATGGGTCTTTTCACCATTAACTTGAAAAAAAGTGGGGAGCTGGGGAGAGAGCGCAGGCTCATAAGAACGAGGAATTAAAAGCCAACCCGTGAACTGAAGCCAAGAGTCTGTCTGCCTTCTTCTGCACTCGTTTAGATATCAAAGGCTCAAAGGACAGCCTCGGGAATCCAGCCTGGCCCGCGCACTCACGAAGGGTCTGCACTCAGTTCTGGACAAACAGGTCCCCGACGGGAGGTGAAAGCCCACGTCTGTTGTCCTTCTCGACTGCACGACTGCGCAGCACGTGGAAGACACGCCCCAGCAGGCTGGTCTCTAAGGGAAGCCTGCGGTTTGCAAAGTACCTCGGGGCCATTTTCCGGGGCTCCTCCTCCCTCCCTCCCTCTGCCCTGCCTCTCAAGTCCCGGGGCTTCGCTGGGGGGGCTCACGAATCCTGCCCTCTGAGCCTCCCGCTCTCACGAGGCAGTGGAGTTCAAAACAAATGCTGGTGGGGCTCTCTCATGGCCCCCTGTCCAGGTTCGAGTCCTGTCCTTGCTCCTTATTAGCTGTGTGGCTTCTGAGTGGTAGCTTAGCCTGTCTGTGCCTCTGTTTCCTCATAGGCAAAATGGTAAAGGTAATATCACGGACCTCACAGAATCATGGTGAGAATTAAAGTAGTGTACGTGCAATGCTTAGCAAAATGCCCAGCCCATAGCTACCATAATTATTATTTTAGAACTTGGAGTTTCACATTGGTCCAACTCTAGGAAAAACGAATTGGCCGGCCAACCAGACCCAAGTGTTCTAGTGGGTATCAAAGTTTTTTGTGTCATTTCATTGCATTACATTTCTCATTGCAGATGAATAAAATGGCCACAGAAAGCATTCGTCGATAGGGGATTGGCTGAATGAGTTATGGGCCACCCCTCATTAGGGTGGACTATCAGGTATATTACA